GTCACCGTACATTTAAATTGTGAATATAATCGCATTTAAATTTGGACGCATGGATATGTATCGCTAATAGACTGAAATCATGTTTCACCTGCAAAACTAGTCCCTCAGTTCATACCTGACCCAGTCCAGGTTAATATTGACCCAGTCCAGGTCCCACACGAGCATCTCACGACTTTCACACTTCAGCAAATGCAGGTGGTCTCTTTGTAATAAATAAACACAAAAATACACAAATAAAAGAATAAAATGAAATTACTTTAGAAATTACCAAACTGTTATTTTTAATAACTTATCATAAGTCTTCATATTCAAAATGCTGGACAGGCTAACTAGCTACCTTTAAGTCCACTCACTCCTTCACACTCACTGCAGCTGGAGCACACCAGCTCACCTACAGCGCNTTCTGCCCAAAGCTGTGAACAGAAGATCCCTTTTCACTCCGACAGTCGGCATGTTGGCTGCTAATCCTCCTCAGCGCAGCGGGAAAGGACCCCGCTAGCCGGCTGTAGCTGTCTGGAGCGATGCCTGATTGAAAGCAAGAATTTAGACGTCTAGTATTTTTAAATTAGAAATATTACCTCCACAGTCATTTTTATGAACAAATCACTTATTTCTTTTAGATGAATAAATAGAGGCAAGTATATTATATTTGACACATGAGTTTCTGACACCTCTACATCATCAGTGTGATATTTTTTCCCTGATAAACCGGATGGACAGTCATCCTTAGATCTATTCATCCCCTTCCATTAAAGAAAAGGCAAAACTCACAACAGTCACTCAAATAACTAGAAACTGGAAAAAGTAATAATAAATAAAAATTTGCTAAATTACATTTTAGAGAAATAAGACGTTGCTTTTGAATTGTGGTTAAAAGAATAATTAAAATAAATAAATAAATAACTGTGCCAAACAAATTAGAGCCCTTTGCTGATGAGCAGTGGTCCAGAACACCTGTCAACAGGTGCACAAGTCTGACTGAGAGTTACAGAAACCACCTGATGGCAGTGATTGGCTCAGAGGGTTGTTCAACTAAATAGTAGTTTATGGGTCCCATCATGGTTGTTTTTGTTTTTTTGTTTGTTTTTTATATTTCTGTTGAACCACAATTCAAAAGCAATGTCATGATTTTCAATACCTTTTTTCTGTATTATTACTTTTGTCAATTTGAACTTATTTCAGTAACAGCTGCTTTTTTTCCTTCTTTAATGGGAGGATATGAACACATCTGAGGACGGCTGTAAACAATCAGACACGTTCAGTGGACAGATAATCCACTAATTAATAACTAAGTAATTCATGCACCAAAAATGCTGGATGTAGCAAAAATTATTCAAACTAAAAACTCATATGAACGCGAATATTTATTTATTTATTTATTTATTTGGATTGTCAGAAAGTTCAATAAAACTCCAAAATTAGAATAAACAAAATAGACAAATTATGACCAACTTCTGGTTTCATCACTGCCAACTAGATTATTAAAATTATTTTAATGAGTTCACAAATAGTGATGCCTCATTAAGAAATACCTAATGCAACAAAGTTTGAAGATTAGGATAAAAATATAAAACTTTCAAAAGGCAGAAAAAAAATATGCAGAACGG